CAGAGTAACTGCCCCACTGGCCTGCTCTGGCCAAATACAGTGAATTCATGAAGACCCAGGTGGAGTGATTTTGCCTTGGGGAAATGCATCCAGGCTTCTGCAGATAATAAAATAGCCCCTGGTTCTGCCCTGTTGCGGAGTCCCAGGGACGCTGGGCTGTGAACCATGAACAACCCTGTTGTTTTCCTTTTTGTTCAGTGGGGACTGATTCATTCTTGTTTCTTTTTTAAAAAAATATCTTCTAGGACCACAGGTTCTTTGGGAGGGAAACTTGGGCCCGATCTGGATTTGCCTGAATTCCTCGCAGTTGCCCCAGATAAGCAGATCGCCAGAGTATGAGCTTTCCCTCTGCCAGGGACAGACCTGGAGGCTGGGAGCAGCAGGGAAAGTAGTGCAATCAGGCCCATTGTGAACTCTAATCCTCGCCTTTCAATAGTTTTGATTTCCCTTTTCCTCCAGCTGACAGCCTGTCCCCCTCCCCCCAGACCTAGACTAACCAGGCCTGGCTCCTTAACTTACAGTCCCCATGTTACCCTTCCATTCCCAGCAGATCCTCCCCCCCTTCTCCCCAGCCTCCCCTTTTGTTTTGACACCTGCACTCTGAGAGCTGTTCCAGTCCCCACTTTCCTTTCATCTGCAGCCTGAGGCACAAGGCTGCCTAACACCAAGCTTGTGTTTGGCCTGTGTGAGGATGAAAGGGCCTGACATTGCCACCGATCTATCAGCCTCATTCACTTGGCAAGAGAAGTCAGGGGCACTGAGCAAGGTCAGAGAAGGAAACAGCCACCTTCTGCCTGGGATGTGGGCAGATGCTTGGGTCCCCCTTGGCCTCTGTGGCAACTACCTGGGGGGGCTTCTGTCTGTTTTCACTTAAGAGAAGGGGTGAGCGATTCTAACACAGCTGAGGAGCAGGGGTAGAGAGTTTGGAATTGAAAAGGAACATCATATACATCAGTGGTTCTCAACCTGTGGGTCGAGACCCCTTTTAACAATGAAAATACACTGCGGCATTAGGAAGGTTGAGAACCTCGGATGTACATGAATCCTAACTAGGACCAGCTACATAATTCGTGGGTTCCAGTGAAAAATGAAAATGTGGGGCCCCTTTTCAAAAGGTAGGAAACAAAGCACAGTTGAAGTACTAAAATGTGATGATGCATTTTCCTTTCTTCCCTGTCTCCCTCTCCACCTGCATGGTCATTTTTATCTGCTCCTTAATCTTGCTCTGCCTGGGGCATGGAGATGCAGACCCATAGGCAGACCCTTATAGGCCCCCGGGGGCCCTGCTACATGATCCAGGGCATATGTGGCCACCATCTTCTTGCAGCTGCTGGACTAATGTGTCATGTCCTAGTGGCAGGCAGGGCGGTGGTGACCCCCAAGATTGCCACCTGTAGGTACCTGGGTCAGGGGTGGGCAAGAGGCTTGTCCTCTCGGCCTAGTTGCTCTCATTCAGGTGGGGAAAGGAAGGGAGGTCCGGAGGAGCCTGGGGCTCTTGGGAGCAGGGGAGTGGGCCCCCTGAGAACCTGTCCCAGGGAGACAGAGGGAGGTGGGACTATGCAGGAGCCCCTGGCTCATGCTCCATTGTCCCTTACTGGACTTCAATTATAAAACACAAACTCAAAGATAGAACTATTAAGAATTTCAATGGTAATTTCAGAGCCTCAAACCCCGGGTGGGGCCCCCTGGCACTGCATTAGTGGTACACCCAGGAAGTCGACCCTGGCCCTGAGGATGATGTCTTTGAGACTCACAGATTTATATAGTAGTAGGATGGAGAGGGTTCCTTCTGCATCCAGGCTGCTTTCCTGATTTTGTTACAGTGTGAGCTCTCCTGGCCCCCAAGTTTCAGGATGGTTTCTGTGGTATGGCTTTCTGCATGGTGACAGCAATTGTTTTCCCTGTCCCTTGCCTTTCTTCCTTGCTTTTCTGAAAGCCCATCTTTGTCTCCTCTCAGTGGTGGAGGAGAGGCTGAGGGGAGATTCCAGGGCACAGGGGTCCTCACTCCCAAATGGGCCCAGACACTGTCTGTGTTGAGGGAGACAGAGTCTGTCTCTGGCTCAACCATTTTTATTTTCTCTCTGAAAGATTTTTTTCTGAAACATTTATAGAAGTGGTCACTTGTTCTGAATTTCCTTGCTCCAGCTTGATCCAAGAAAATGCCATCGCAGTGGACATTCTCCATCCTGTTCTTGGGTGATGGAGGGCCCTCTTGGACTTGTGTTTGGGGACCAGGCTAAGGAAGAGGTCAAGTTTCTCTGAGGGTGTTCAGCCACCCTTTGGCCCATCAGGGCTCAGTTATTACAAGCTTGCCCTGGGGCCCCAGGTGCCATGTGGGGCCTGAGGAGGTGCAGGGTGTCTGGGGGCTCCCAGCAGGGGTGTCATGGAGCTGGGTTAGCAGGGTGAGGAGGAGGGAGTCCTGTAGGGTGGAGAAGGTAGGTGGAGGTGCTGCCAAAGGAGACAGGGGAGAGGGCAAGGGAGTGCTGTGAAGACCCGGGAACACTGGTGCCAAGAGCCTGGGGAGAGGGCTGTGGCGCCCCTGGCCAAGTTGGGTGAGAGAGCTTTGGGTTTCTGCATAGCTGCCTCTGGTCTCCAAGTGAGGAGACGGCCGCCCTTGGTGAAAACGGCTGGTTTGTGTGGAGGCTCCTCTAGCCTTGGAAGGGGTGAGCTCAGGGGGGTGGCCCTCTCCTGCAGCTCTGTGTGGCCTGACTGGGAAAATCATGTGTGTTTCTCCAATAGGTAGAGTTTCCTTTGCTTCTTTTTGATAGAATACAGCAGGCGTCTTCAAACTACAGCCCGCGGGCCACATGCAGCCTGCCTAGGACATTTATCTGGGCCGCCAGGTGTTTTTGCCGCCACTGCCTGTCCTGCTTAGCAGCCGACTCATCCCAGGGCTCGCAGTCTGGTCCTCCAATGGTCTGAGGGACAGTGAACTGGCCCCCCATTTAAAAAGTTTGGGGACCCCTGGAATATAGCTTATGGCTGGAAGGGTAGGCTATGTAGTACCAAAAGTCCCATTTTACAGATTGATCTCATTGTGTCTTCAATCCATGTTTAAATAAAAAGAATGCTAAGAGAGCTCGAGTCATACTGTGGACTCATTTATAGTCAATCATGAGGTAAGTGACCCCATCTGGGGATCTGACCACAGTGACACCAGTGACTGTCCTGGCATGTGGCTGTACTGCTCTCGTGCTGTTTCGTAGCTTTTCAGTCTGCAATCTGCCTCCAGACAGGAACCACGTGTTTTATTTATCTATGGATACGCTGGACTTTCCAGGCATTAGTATAGCCATTTTGTAGATGAGGAAAGTGAGGCTCAGAGAACTGGAACAAGCTGTGAAAGTTCTGTGACTAGACGGAGCCAGAGGGAGTCAGTATCTGTGGAGTATGGACAAAGTTTTGTGCCTATATTTATTAACCTAGACATTGGGAAGCCTGATTCCTCCCGACAAATGCATGTGGCATGGGAGTACGAGCAATTTCCAGCAGATGCTGATGTGGTGAACTACCTTGGGGTATTTTGGTGGCTGATATGGTACAAATATTTGGAATCAAGACAGTTGTGGAGAGTGCTGGAGGAATGGCGGCTTCTTAGCTCTGACGGGTTTTAAGACTCTTGGCTGCTTGAAGGTGATTGTCCCTCGTAGGCCAGATGGATGCCATGGAACAGCAGCACTGCGGGGAAGCCCAGGAGGGAGGTGCTGGGTGCTACACCTACTACACTGCCGGCCAGGCCCGGACAACAGCAAAGGAATGACCTGGGATGAAATGGGAGGCAGGGGGCAGATGGAGAGTCCCTGTGTGACTCTGCTCAGCATCAGCCAGCCACTTGCAAATAAAGGTTTATGACCTCCTCTTGGGAGCTGCATGCTGGACCCCAGGGGGGAAGGACCTGGGAGGGCAGTTCCTGGCTGCATTAGAGACTGACACAGCTCACAGAGATCCCAAGGCCAGCAACGGAAGGGACAGGGGAAGAGAGAAGCCAGCCATCCACAGAGAGGCCATCTGAGATGTGCAGGGCTGGCTAGAGTCCTGGCATTAGAAGCACAGGCTGCTGGCCAGACGTGGTGGGTGAGCTTGGAGCTCTGCAGATACCACATGGAAGGCAGGAAAAGCAAGGCCAACCAGGCGAGGGAGGCAGATGAAGCCTCTGCGTTCTGCGCTGTGCAATAGGACAGCTACTGGCCACCAGGAGTTATTTAAATGTAAATTAATAAAAATTACATAAATAAAAAATTTGGTTCCTTGGTCTTATTAGCTACATTTCATGCTCAAGAGCCACACATGGCCAGGGGCTGCTAATTGGATGATACAGATGTAAGACATTTCCATCACTGCAGAAAGAGTTCTACTAGAATGTAATTATCTAATTTTTTATATTGATTACATGCTAAAATAGCAGTTTGGATATACAGAGTTAAATAAGCCATGATATTGACATTAACTTCATCTGTTTCTTTTTACTCACTGTGGGTAATACCAACTTGTCAGGCACCATTGCTGTTACGGAGGTGGGGGCACAGGAACATGTCTCCAATTATTCACTTGTTTCACACCACATTCATTTGATGGCATTTGGGTGGTTGATGCCTGTTAAACCCATTTCTCAACAGTAAAAGTTACAGAGACAGCCTAGTGTCATGGGACAAGAGCGACTTTGGAGCCAAGAGAATTCAGGTTCAAATCTCAGCTCCATCATCTCCCTACTCTCTTGGAGATCTTGGGCGACTTACGTGCCTCACTTTTCCCATCTGAAAAATGCACCAATGCCGAGCCACCACTTGGCATTGCTTTGAACGTTACAGGAGAGAGCGCACATACGGGGCTGGCGTGGGGCCCTGGTGAACCTCAGTAGAAGGTAGCGTTGCTGTCGTCAGCACTTTTAGTGGGGGGTTTTGGCCGGCGTATCTGGTCTCAGAGTACTCATTCTCCTACCCCTACCTTCAGCATCCCTCCCTGCCCCCCGCACAGCCTTCAGGCGCGATCTGGGCACTCACCTGCTGGCAGCTGCTGGCCCAAGAGTTGCGGAGTGTGCCCCAGCCCCCTGAGCGCGTGGCCTTGCTCTCCAGGTGTATCCGCAGCTGCGCTTCCAGCTCCTGGCTGACTTGCTCCAGGGCATGCACTTTGGCCATATATTCCACCAGGCAGCCCCCAAGGTCCTCAACAGAACTGTGTTCCCTCTCCAAATCTGGAGTGGGCATGGTGGCCAGGCCTGAGCTCCGCAGGCCCTGGAGGAAGACACTGCTGATGCCCAGGGCCCGGCGGGTCACACGGGCACCCAGGCCACCTATGCACCCACTGGGCACTGTCCCTACATAGACCCCAGGTGCTCGGATGAGGCCACTCACGGCGTTGGTTCTGGAGGCTGGGGGACTGTCCAGGGAGGATGATGACCGTGGCCCCCTGAGGGACGGCCTGCGCCTCTGGAGGGGCATGCTAGAGCTGGTACTGATGGGCAAGTCCACCGCCACTCGCCTCTCACTCATCACCCCTTCTGCCTCTGTGGTGCCCGGCGGGCTTACAGAGTCCTGTGGCTTTTGGTTTACAGCCCTGTGGCCTGGTCACGAGCCTCTCTGGAAGCTCCCCCTATCCCTGGGGCTGCTTTGTCTGCTGCCTTCCATGAGTTTCTATCATTCAGCGAGCTGAAAGAGAAATGGGCCCTGCCCAGGGCTGTGTGCAGAGAGGCACTCATGCATTCTTTGAAGCAGAGTCATCTGCCCAACCTCCCAGATTTTTCTGTTGGTGGTGAGGGAGGCTGGATCAGTGCACGCTGTGGGGGTAGATCATCTGGTTTGTGCATTTCACCACCTAAGAGTGGGCAGGATAGGCATCAAGCAGCCCCATTTCACAGATAAGTAAACTGAGGCTCAAGGACCTCAGTTCACAAGAATAGTGTAGGACTCCATCTAGGTGTTTGAAGGCCAATTTCAATGCTTTCTACATCCCTACGTGTGGTGTATACCAATGTGTGACTATGAGAATATGTTCACACGGGCAATAGAGGATGAAATGGAAGTGAACCAGTCACAGCAGGCACAGTACCAGGGACCCAGGAGAAGCATGCCTGCCTCTTGCTTCTCACCCTCCCTGAGAAGCTTCAGGTCCCTCCCTCCCCTTCTCTTCTCATCTCTGCCTCTGACCTTCTGTTAGTCATCAGCCAGTGGTCATTGGCTATGTCACTTTACCCCTTGGACCTTGATTTCCATAGGCTGGCCTGGGCTCTAACTCTCTGATGGCCTAGGTAATGGATCTTGGGCGAGTTGAAGCCCCACATGTGGGCACCTATTTAGTCATTCCCCACACCTCTGCTTCCCCAGTTGTCAGAAAATTAGAAAGTAAAAACAGGAAAGAGCATTTTCTGGTAGACCCTCCAAAGGTGTGCCAAGTCAGGATCAGATGACACCCTCTGGGCTTTAATTCCTCCTGCCAGCATCCACTGAGCCATGTCATCGTGCGGCACACCTCAATCACTTCTCCAGGATTAGGAAGGTTCCACCGGCCCCAGGGATGACATCATGGACCTAAAAACCACTGTGATTCAGTTTTGCCCTGGAGAAACCAGGTAACTGAATTCCAGAGATGAACGTTTATCCTGTAACATGTGCATTCTCCCTGAGTAAGGGAAGACGTGAGTACCAAACACACCTGGTGCTGTGTGTGATTCCCTAACTTTAGCTCACTGAATTCTCAAGTCAACCTTAGGAGGTAGGCAGGTACAGGGCTGACGTTTACTGACAGTTGGGGTGTCCAGTGCACACCCCCAAAGTATCACCGTATGTCCTGTAATTGGTTACTATCCCCCTTACATAATGAGGACCCAGAGAGCTGCAATAACTGGCCGTGGTCCCATGTCCAGAAAGCAGCAGAGGTGGCAGGGAAAGGCCTCTTCTGACTCCAGTCCCATGACTTGTTTAGAACCCTCCCTGCTGCCCACCATCTAGAGACAAGGACGCCTTCCCAAGGTCACACTGGGTGGCAGGTGTTGCCTGCTAGAGTATTTTGTGTGTTCTCTCTTCCTACTGATTAGGACACTTGACCCTTCCTTTCTTTTTTTGTTTCTTCTACCTTGTCGATTTGAGATGACACAGAAGGTACTTTATAAACATCAATGTTAGTTATTTGACTAGGAGATTAAGAAACCAGCTAGGTCAGGTCAAGGCTGGTAGTGTCCATGTTTACTTAGATGTAGCATTCTTGTAGCATTGTTTGGTGCACCCAGAAGGGTCTTTGGGGCATGTGAGGCCGAATTGTGACATCCTGCTAATTCGGGTCATACTGAGTGGGTCCCGAGGATCTGCATTCTTGTGTGTCCCAGGAGGGATCATCCAAGGCTGAAATAAAGGTTCAAGCTGCTGGTGAAGTGCTTTGCAAAGGTGTCATATTTAGCCACTGTTATTCTCTGTAGAATGATGACACTCAGTGGCCAGGTTACCTTCAGATCAACAACATTTACTAAAAATCCACTGAGGCCTGGAGAGTTGGTGAACGAGGAGGGGATGTACTTTAGCTGACACCCATGTCTCCAAAGGATTTGCTTTATCAAATGATAAACCAGTAATCCTATTAGCTCATCATGCTCATAAAATCCAACTTACTGTTAAATCAGACTAAAAAGTAGCATTAAGTGGTATTGGTTCTGCTTAAGGAAGACTTAAATGTTATTTTAAAATGAAAAGAAAAATGTATTAGCAACCGAAACCTCTGGCTAATAAAATAAGTTTATTCATATATACAGGATAGCTGAATTCCGTGGATAAGGAAAAATAAGTCATAGTCCACATATGTATATATAACATATGTATCTTTGATTACATATATTATATATAAATTTTACTTTACAAACAGATTTCGCTCTATATACTCACACACACTGATATATTAAATGCAATAGCTAACAGAAATGCTATGATATGGTTTAAAAGGTCAGACAGCAACATGTTAAAAAATGAGTCTCAGAGAAACCTTTAACCTGCTTCTTTGTGGGTTGAAGGGTCTTTGAAGAGAGACAACAACCAAACTCATGTTAAACAGGTTCATACAACATTGAGAACACACATTTTTGAAGGCCATCTTTTTTCTTTTTTTAAAAAAGGAAAATGCAAGAAGGAAAACGTCATGATAAAAAAGATTACAGCAATGACACGAACATATGAATCAACATTCAAGTTCAATTTCCAGTTTGACTATAAGAACATCTATATTCAAAATATACTATCAAACTATTTTGCTTTTAGAGAAAGGAAGCATCAAAGCAGTTATCATCTCTCCCTATCAGGAAAAAAATAGAGCAGCATTCATCCCTGGAAGCCCCTCTGGTATCTCTGAGGGTCTGACCTTTGTCGGCCGGCCATGCTGGACACAGCATGTGCTGGGGGGAGGCAGCCAGCTGGCCAGGGCCGAGGGAGCAGTGTGGGGAGATGAGGGACGATGAGAGCTTGGTGGCAAGTCCATCGCCTGGTGCTGCAACGCCCAATAGGGGTATAATGATGTCTTCTCCCAAGCTGTTTCTTGGGCAATCTTGTTTTTATTTGGGCAATTCTTTTTTTTTTTTAATGATTGCAGAAGGAAAGTTTCAAAAATTACAGTTGTACACCTTAAGGCTTCTTTAGAAAAACGTGTTCCTTAAGGGCACAATACCATCAGCTTTTGAAAAAAATAAATAAATCCCAATACATAGTTGATCCTTGAAGAAGGGCAAGTATTCTAAAGCTGCAGGGCTGGTATCTGCACCTAAACCCTCTCTGAGAGAAATGCAGGGGCATTTAATGCAGATGTGGGTGTTGGAGAGGACACAGGGATGGGCTTGAAGGGTGTACTTTTCTGCCAGAGAAGGCAGTCCTGTTGCTAGCAAGATGGGAATGCCCTGTTGTGTGATGTTAGGGGGACATCTATGGATCCTGAAGGCTGCGTGCTCCTGCCTGCTGTCCATAACTTGGATGGGATTCAACTTGACATTTGATGGTGCCGTTTTGAGTTCCAGGGCACTCATCCTCTCAGATGATGAGATGTCCCCTCTTCACCCAGGGGTGCATGAGTCTGCTGTCTTCCCCCAGGCAGCCCAGTCTCCTTCACTGGTGTGCATATGAGAAGGGAGGAAACGGGTCACACTGAAGCAAGGGCAACTGGAACTTTAGGACCGTGCCCTCGGCCACTTCAACATTCAGCTTCTACAGTCTCTTACCTCACCTGTCTGGGGCTCTTGGGATTTCCAAGTGCTCAAGATCACTTATTAAGAGAAGCAATCAGTGCAACTGCTTTGCTTAGAAATACCTTTATTTTATAAAGCCACAGATCATTCTGTAAAGTTTTTTTTTTTAAACCACACTTATAAAAAAGATGTTGACAATTTTTAGGAAAAAAAAAGTTGAAAATGTTTCTCATTAAGTCAGGGTTCCACAAAGGTTATATTTATAATATATATATATATTTGTATATTTATAATTTAGAGACGAAAAATAGGGACTGGCAAAGCAAAGGCTGCTGCAGTTAGATCTCAGAGACTTGGTCATTGCCCACAAACAGGGTTTCTTGACAGAAGGGGTTCACAAGAACCATCCCAGTGTCTCTGTAGTCACCATTGGCTGGGGAGCGGGGCTCCGAGAGCTGGTCCTGGGGGAGAGAGGGAGGAGATGAAGTGAGCAGGACAAGGCTTGCGAGGTGGCTGCTCTTCTAGAGATGAGCATTTATTTCAGCATCAATCACTTGGCATACATTGTCATCCTCTGCACCGCCCATGCTGAGGTGCCAAGTCCTATTGGCTATTCTTTAAAATTTCTATAGCCACATCCTAAAAAGGTTTCCCGCTTCCTGAACCACCCTCACTGTAGGTTGCCAGTGATGGGGCTGCTTTCCTTATAAAAGTCAAGGAGGCCTTGTCCTGCACAACACACACCGTGCAAGGCTGACTGCCCTCGTAGGCCAAAGATGGGCCACTTGGACCCCTGCCTTCGTTTCCGAGACCTCTGGGAATTTTCTCTGCTTTTTCTCTCTGAACACACCTAGCCTTGCCCACCTCTTTCCTTCCCACCCACCTGTTAGAATCTGACAGAACCGTCAGTCTTCAAGGGCTAATTCCTTCACCTCCCGAATCCGCCTAGAGCCTGGTAAAGTTATTGCCCCCTTTCTTGGAGCGCTGGAAGTACTTGTGGAACGAATCTGAATTTCCGTGCGACTGTACAATAGGTGCTAAGTGGAAAATCCAGTCTGGATACTTAACCCCGAGAGCAGAAAAGCCTAGAAATAGGCAGGACACCGCCCCGAAGGTCACCTGAACGGCTCTGGCAGGGATTTTGGTCTTAACTACTAATGACTGCAGGCATTTGGGGGCCACGAAATGTTGGTGCTCAGATTCAGGCACTGTTATTCATTTAGAAGAAAAAGTCATGGCTTGTTCAAATGAAAGCAACTAACTTCTCAGGACTTTCCAGACCATTGAGAGAGAAGGCTCAGCATCAGGCGTAAGTGTACTGGCTTATGCCCCACTTGCTGAGATTTCTCTTCATTTAAGACTGAAGACACAGTTCTTTGAAGTTTATTTTTAAACAGAACATATGCAATAAGTATTTTTCGAGGAGTACGCGTTACTCTATGAATTATGAGGTATGAAAGGAAGACATGGCTTTGCTTTTAGAAAGCACGAATGTCCTTTGTGTCTAGTCTTAGTTGAGTCCCCATCAGCAGGGAGGACCTGGGCACAGCCATCGGACAAGGAACCCAGAGCAGCCCCTCAGACGGAGACAGAAATCCTCTTTCCCACAGGCTTTTGGGTGAGCAGTGGAGGGGATCGGAGGGTGAGATCTGGCTTGTCATTTTACAGCTTTCACAAAGCAAGTATTTACCGAGGTGACCCATGAGGTTTCACCGAATAAAAAAGAGTTATAACCAAGGCAAAAAAGAGGAAACTAAAGGAGAAGACTGAGGAGGAGGAGGAGGAGGAAGAGGAGGGAGAAAGAAGAAAGAGTGGAAGGTTCCCGAGCACCCTGTGGGCACCTGGTTTTGCCCGTGCAGCCCAGATTTGTGTTTGCTGCTTTTGTCAACCCAGAGAGGGGCAGGGCACCAGAGGAACTTGCTTAGGTGAAGCATTTGGCTGCCTCCAATGTTGGTGGCTAACAGGCAGGGAGTGAGTGCCCATTCCGGGGACTTGGGATGAGGTGGGGCGCGCCCCAGGACCTAACGATTGCTCTGTGTATGATGGGCAGCACATGTGTGTGTCCAGCTATCTTCACCCTGGCTCTGGGCTGCCTGCCTTTTCCCTTAAACACTGTGAGTCCGGAGAGTCAGAACAAATTCTAATGTGAAAACAGAATGAAGAGAGTTGACTGCTGGGAGGGAAACAGCAATAAAATCTCTTCTGAAGCCAAAGCAAGCTCAGTACTGCAGGCCCCATGGTGTCCTCCTGCTCCTGAGATCACGGCTGGCTGGGGCAGCCCTGCCCACCAGAGCCCTGGCTTGTGTCAGACGGCAGCCCTGCTGCCGTGTGCTGGAATGACTAACTGGAATAGTCTACAATCCAGGGCCTTTCCTGCAGTTTGTTCACAAGCACTGTCTGTTGGCTTTGGTTTTCATTTGCCAATTTGCAAAGAGAATAGGAGAAACCTAGTGCTCAGGGCTCCCAGCCCATGCTCAAGCAGGGTCAGCCCTTTGTCAAGTCACACACATTTTCACCCACTCTAACAGATCTCAGGAGCACTGTGGCTCTGCAAAACGTGCCCCTGCTGCACGAAGGCTGATGCCTCCTGCACCTGGCCCCTCTGTTCCCCTGGGGTAAAATTGTTTCCTTGAGCATCTCATTTATTGTGTTAAGCCTTAGGCCGGGCGAGTAGGTACCTTTTGGTGAATGAAAATTGATGGTTCATTTGATAGCTATGTGCCAAGTGCCTCCCGTGTACCAGGCACTGTCAACGCACAGGGCTCCTGCCCTCAGACGCCCGTATCCCAGAGGGAGAGCTGGACCACAGACCAGCCAAGGGAGGGACAAGGAGGCAATGCCAGGTGGTGAGAGGGCTCTAAAGACAAGTCAGCAGGGGAGTGGCCTGAGAGCAGAGGTGGGGTCTAATCACAGAGGCAGCTGGGGAAGGCTTCCCTGAGGAGAGGACATTTGAACCTAAAGTGAGGGAGGGGAGCGTCTAGCAGAAAGGCATTTCAGACAGGTGCAAGAGCAGAGCTCTTGGGGGCTGGGGGCTGGGGCCAGGGCTCCTGTGCAGGAGGCAGAGCAAAGATGCCAGTGTGGCTTGAGGGAGGGATCACTGGGAAGTGTGGTGGGGTCAGGAGCTGGGCAGGGGCCAGCTTGCGAAGGGCATAGGGAGGAGAGTCTGGGTTTTACTCACATCTGGAGAGGGGCTATTTGAAAAGCTGAGTGATGGCTATCTGGACCCTGCCTTAAAAAACGATCACCTGGCTACTGTAAGGAGGTCAATACTGCAGGAGAGGGACAGAGGTCGGTGGGTAGGGACGGAGGCACTGCAGGAGAGGGACAGCTCATGCAAGGACCTGGAGCTGGTGAGAGGCAGATTGGTGTTGTGGAGGGACAAAAGGAAATCCAGTGCGGCTGGAGCTTAGCAAAACAGGGAGAGGGGCGCGAGGAGAGGCTGCAAAGTTGGGCTGGGTCTAGGTCCACCTCAAAGGTCCTGTGAAAGACTCCACATGCATTCTGAATGAGAGCAATGGGAAGCTACCAAAAGGGTGGAGCCTGGGAGTGCCCCCAGCTGGGTTTATGAAAACTCACCCTGCTGCTGCGGGGAAGGACCTGCCGGGCTCTTCTCAGCTCTCCCTGCCTGTGCTCAGACATCTGCCATCTTTCTCCGGGGCCCCTCAGTTGCACCCTAGTTGACCTGCCTAATTTTAATGTCTGCTGCTGTTCCATCCATTCATCTATCCTTCCAACCACCCTCCTTTCCTTCCTTATCCACTCACTGACCACATATGGAGTGCTTTCACCTGGCCAGCAGCACCATCCTTCTAAAACTGGGCCACCCAACAATCTAAACTGTTAATGGGCCTCTACTGCTCAAAACTAAAGTCCAAATTCCATAATGCCCCATTTGCAGCTGTGCCTCATCTGGCCTTCATCTGGCTTTCCTGCTCCACCCTGGCCTCTGCCTCATGCCTCATGTGTAGACTCTGGGCAAAGTCCTGGGTTCCAAGCTCAGGGCTCTCTCTGGCCAGCGAGGTGTCTTGGGCAAACAATCCCACCCTGGTGGGTTCTTCTCTCCCTCTGTGGCTATACCCAGCACACGTCCCCAGCTTTACGCAGGCTCTTTCTTTGTCAGAACACCTGTTAAAATCCATGTATCCATCCTAGCACCTCCCTGGGGAAGGAAGGCTTTCCTCTCCTGGGTTTCTGTAATTCTTTGTCTATCACCTGTCTTGTGTTTTTGCTAATTTGTTTTGTTTGGGGGCAAAGCTGCAGTTTGTTCTGGAGCCCTGTGGGACCAAGCAGTCATCTTCACAGCCCCCACCCCCCCCAGAGTGACTGGCACGTAGAGGCCCTCATGGAGCATTTGTTGATTGATTTGTTTCTGGAAACTGAAAGTCCCAGGAACAGTGCTTCCCAGACTTCCACATGAAGAAGCCCCTGGGGATGCTCGCTGCAATGCAGATCCCAGCTCAGCAAGGCTGGGGTGGGCCCACCACCTCTTGGGTGATGTTACTGGTGCTGCTGAGCCACACGTTGAGGACAGGGCACTCAGAAATGAGTGCGGCTGTCTGTGGAGCCTGTGTCTTTCCCTGCATTGAGGCTGCATGTGCAGGGGGACCCTCCAAAGCCAAGGGCTGGGTACCTCAGAGGTCTCGAGGGACTGGATCTCCCTGGGCAGCTCCACGGCGTGCCTGTTGAAGTAGTCCATGGTGATGGCGTTGTTCCAGTAGCTCAGGCTGTGTTCTGGGTTGGCTGCCTTCTTCTTCCTCCTCAAGCAGCACACTGTCAGCAAGACAGCTGTGGAGAGAGTCTGAGTCAGGGAGGAGGAGAGCGAGGGGACAGGATGGAGCCGGCGTTGTCGGAGACAAACGCGGGTCTCCAGCCCAGTGGGGCGGCCATGGTCATATGCTCAGCCACTTACCCACTCGGTCACTCACTTATTTGTTCTTTCAGGAAATATCTATGTACATCGAGTACCTACTTTTTGTCAGAAACAGCACAGGTGTTGGGGAGATGGGGTGACAAAAAAGGGCAAGGTCTTTGGGCGGTAGAGGCCCACTAAAAGTTTAGATTGTTGGGTGGCCCAGTTTTAGAAGGATGGTGCTGCCTTCGTGAGAGTCTGTCCTGGTGTAAGTGTAGAGGGTACAGATGGGCCAGATGGTAAACAGAAAGTGAACAAAATGAATAATGAGATGCAGAGCAGGAGAAGCATGATCACCACTAGCAGAAAACGAAAGAGGGGGACTGGGAGTGACAGTGAGGATGGGGGTGGGGTGCTGCAGAGTCATCATGGAAGGCTTTCCTCCGGAGCTTCCCTGAGAGTGGAAGCGGACTTGGGAAGGAGTCACCACGTCCAGGGCAGCCAGTGTGTTCAGCTGTGGAGAGCACATGCCAAGGCCTGAGGTGGGGACAAGCTGGAGTGACTGAGGGGAAGACGGAGCAGTGTGTAGACTGAGTGAGCCTTGGGGAGTGAGGAGGTGATGGCGCAGAGTGGGGGCTGGAGGCTGTACCCACAGGGGCTCAGGTGCAGTCTGCCGGTGTCTGTGGGTTCTGCAGTGCCACCCACAGGTTTGCACCGAGAGAAAGGCCTGGCTTGGCTATAGAGCATGGCACGTGGGCTTGGGCTGCTGGGCGATGAGGATAGTTCTTAGCTGGAGTGGAAGGATGGTGGAAAGAGTGAACTTTATAAAACAAGCCCCTGACTTCCACAGAGGGCCTTGATGGCAGAGGCCTGCAGCGCAAAGTCACAGGGTAGAGGTCTTATCTCCTGATAAAACAGCTCCTCTGGCGGCGGCATCATCAAAAAAATGTGCAAACAGTTACACAGAACTTAAGTCCCATGCATGGTTCCAAGCACATTAGAAATACCAGTTCATTTAATTCTCTATTTAACCTATAAGGTCAGTTCTATTTTACAGATAGGAAAACTGAGGCTCAGAGAGGTAATGTGCTAAGAGCAAACCCAGATTTCTGGACTCTAAAGTCTGTTCTTTCTCATCCGCAATTCTGCCTCCGACTGATGTGAAAGCGCCCTCTGCACAGAGGGCCTGATTGGGCCCTAGGAAGCTTGCCTGAGTGTGCTGTGTAATGTGTGACCCTGATGCGCACAGGGTCCCAGGAGGAATGGGAATGTCTGGGTTACCATGATGAGCCAGGTACGAGCAGAGTGGCTGAGGCACGAGAACCGGAAGGCTTCCGAGGTCAGAGAGGCAGGGTGGCCTGTCTGGGCTCAGGAAACAGAGGGGTGATGCCATGACTCGTGTTCACTAAGTTTACCATCACAAGAGCCTCCAGGGAAGGGGGAACTGAAACTATAGGCCAGAGGTGGATAGGGCCACCCTAATATCCTGCTGGTACCAGCATCTCTGTGCAGGGAGTGAGGGCCCTGGCGAGCTGTCCAGAAAGGCCAGCACCAGGGACAGCAGATGGCCAACTCCATCTGCAGCAGTCTGAGGGCTCTGCCAGCACTGGGGGTGGGAGCCTGCCGGGGTGGGTAGCACCTATACAGGCTGAGACCTCAGAGCAGGGCCCGGGCCCCTGTGGGTTGACTGAGGAATTCTGTCCCTTTCTCTGCAGCTTCTGGCCTTGTTGGCTTCTCAACCTGGAAAGGCCTTTGAGTAAGGTCAGGAGGGTAGGCTTCCATTCCCTTTGATTTGCTGTGATCAAGAAGACTGCTAATTTGCTTATCGTTTTTCTAGACCCCTCTGAAAAACCCTTAAAACACAGATTTCTGAATGTTTGTGCTAACAGGAGTTTTAGAGATTAGCTGGTCCGGAACTTTGAAATGCTGTGGGTCTCCTCCTTTTCCTCTCCTTCCTCCATGAAAGTGAGAAGGGGCTGCCGTGCTCAACCTGAAACCTGCTAATTTCGGCCACCTTCTTATTCCACAGAGGAGAAACTGGGCCCACAGTGCCTGGCTGACTCACTACGGGTCACAGCTGTGTGAGTGGCAAGACTGGGACTGGACCCCAAGTCCCTGCTGCCCCTTTTTGCTTTCTCTGTTCTTCACTGTCACCCCTTTCTTCCTGCTTCTGAACTGGGATATGAAATAGCGTGGGAGGTACAAGCCACACAGAGACGGGGACACTTGGGAAGTGGGAAAAGTGCTGTTTCCCAGTTTAGTTCTGGTGAGGTTAGAGCTGGGGTGGGGATTGTTTTGGACGTTTACAGTGTTGGAACAAACAGAGTGACTCTCCAATTATCAGCTGGTGGGGACACATTGTGCCCCACGAAACACTGCTGCAAATGCAAAACCCGGGCTGACGGGGGTAACATGTATCTGTGAGCCAGACCTGTCTACTTCTCTAAGATAGAAGGGCATCTGTGCCTCTGATCAAGCAAACAGAATCGCAGTGACAGGTGTGGTCTCAGATACTGCCTAGTCAAGACAGTGAGAGAGACAGAGAGTTTAGAATCAGAATCCAGATAACAACCTGTTACTTGAATGGCCTAAGTAAGTTACTTAACCTCTTTAAAGTCCCAGCTTCGTCTGGGAAGATTAAATGCAATCAAGCACGTGCCACAGGAACACAGTAGGTGCTGAACCAGGTCAGTCACTATCCGTGTCCTACATTCTTATTCTACAAAGTGGAGCATGGAAACCCAGAGCGGTGAACTTGCCCAAGGCCATGTTGCTAACCTGGGCTGGCAGAGGTTGCAGAATCCAAGGCCCCTGACTCCCAGTCCGTGCTCTAACAGCCACACTGCCCTGGCTCTAAAGCCTGGGCTACTTAGGATGCCAGAGGCAGGACCCTGCCCTGTGGGGAAGGGCTGGCACTTTCGCAGGATGGAAAGGGCGTTCTGTTCCATGCCTTCTCCCTCACACGCTGGCAGGGCTCCTGGCATGATGATTTCTTTGAGGGGGATTCCAGTGCTTCTCAGGAGCCATTGCCTCTACTTCCTGGGAGTCAGTCTGGCTATAGGGTGAGCACAGGCTTGGAGTGAGAAAGTGCTGGGTTGCAGTCATGGCTCTGCCCACCTGGGAAGCCACTTCATCTCTGATCACCATGGACTTCATAGGGTTGGAGCAAGAATCAAAGAGATCCCGGATGCAAATGCCAAGCACAATGTCTGACAGACAGCGGGCTTAACTCAGGAAGCTTCTCTCCTTGTTCTCCTAGAACTTCTACAAGAGAGATCTACAACGAAAAACTAGGCTACCCAACTGTCAGGTGCTTCTGGGCCAAAGCTCCATTGGGGGCTTGGAACGTTCACCATTTCAGTGGTCTGACCACTGACTCATCTGAACAGGTAAAGTCTGACTTTCAGTCTCTCCTGTACTCTCAGCAGGGCCCTGGGCTCTTTCCAGGCTTGTTTAACTCACACAAGTGTCTGAGGAAGCTATTGTTACTACTCCCATGTTTAGAAGAGGTAACTGAGGGTAGTAAGAGTTCATAACATTGCTCTCGATCACCCCAATAACTGCTGCAACTTAATCCCAGGTCTCAGTGACCTTCCAGCTGATGAGCACTGTCCTGAACACTGGAGGGAACACATGAGGTATGTCAAACACACAGGGTTGGCCACTCCCTGTCCCATTTAGTCCAGAAACTTCTACAGCTCTGTTTCCCATAAGGTGATCGCCATCAAGACTCTAGAGGAGGTGAATAGGGCTGAGGGTTAGGCAAGCTCTCCTGGCAGTCCAGGAACCTCAATGGGCAATGCCCCTGGCTTGTCAGAGGTAAGTCAGGGAGAAGCAGGGTTTCTGCCTTTGAGATGGAGGCTTTGGTACTGTGCTTGCATTTCTAGGATGGTTCAGGTGATGGGGCCTAGAAATGGAAACGAAGCCCTACAGGTCCCCTGAGGCCCAACACCTGCTGCAACTGCTCTCTCCCTGGCCTGTGTGAGCACAACTGCAGATCCTAACAGGATGAATAATCATCACTATTTGATCACTGCCATTCATCAAGCACCTTTTCCATGGCAGACACTGGGATAAGGCCTAACACGTGTCACCTCTGAATGTTCCGAGTCTGTGAGGTGGGTGCTGCAGCCATGTGGACGCTCGCCTCAGATCTGCCGCACGGAGCATGGCAGATGGACAGTCCTGCTCTCTCCCCATCCCCGAGCCCTCACCTCAGGTTTGTGCCGAGGTCCTGTTTCCTAGGCTGTTCCCAGCCATGACTGTGGCAGGGGCACACAGGACTCTCCTAAAGGCTCAAAGACTTCTATTGGCCTGGCAGAAACGTTCTCAGCACTGCACTGCAGTCCAAGACTCCCTACCAGTCCTTCCTGCCCCCTGTCTGCCATGGGTGTCAGGCCTCCAGTACCGTCTGGGGCTTTCTCTGCCCACTGCAGTTCCTTCCTGAACATTTTGCAGATGTTTCCCCAGTAATTTTCTTGCATGCCCAATCCTGCCTTAGTGCTTGCCTCTTGAAAGAACTAACAGCAGGTGCTGGTCCCATTTTGCAGATGGGAAAACATGGAATCGATGATCATGTAACTTCTGAGTCCAATGGCCAGTGAGGGTAAGAGCTGGGCTTCCATGCAGGTGTGCTGAATTCCACACACCAAGTCTTGCTAGCACAGCAGACTTCCTCTCTTCTGGTCCACCCACACACAGTTAACATTAGGGAAACTGGAGAGGACAGGGGGTGATAACACATTGTACTTTGGCCCCTTTGTTTTATAAAAACCCTGAGACCAGTGAGGGGAAGGATTAGTGTGGTGGTGCCAAAGTGAGGGGGGATCCAGGGCTGTGGACAGTCATTTCCCTCCTCCAGAGGCTGAGGGAGGAGGCCATGAGGTGGGGCTCAGGATGTGGAAGGAGGCCAGGTTAGCCTGCTTAGTCTGCTTGGTCTGGCTCCTCAGCCTGGTGGGTGGGAACATGCCTGCAGAAGCTCCTGGAGGACCCGGGGGTGCTGGTCGAGAAGCTCAGGGAAGAGCTGTCGATGTGGGCATGACACTGTGTGGCCAGGGTGCACCCCTGGACAGTCCGGCCTGCCCTGAGCATCTTCCCCTCTTCCTCCCTCCATCCATAAGCCTCAGGGAGATAAGCCTCCTGGCTGCACTTCCTCTGGCCCCAATCTCTTCTGCTCTTTTCCTTACCTTCCTTGGTAAGAGCTACGCTGACCCAGAGTTTTCTTATATAATAATTACAAAATCATTTAGGGCAGTGATTCTCAGCCTGAGGGTCACAACCCCATTATAACAATGAAAATACATCCTGCATATCAGATATTTACATTACGATTCATAACAGTAGCAAAATAACAGTTATGAAGTAGCAACGAAAATAATTTTATGGTTGGGGGTCACCACAACATGAGGAACTGTATTAAAGGGTTGCAGCATTAGGAGGCCTTAGGAAGGTTGAGAACCCCTGATTTAGGGCCTGTGAATAAAAAGGCACACATGTCCATTCAGATCTAATCTTCACCGAATAACGAACATCGCCAAGAATCACTGGGCACATGGCATGTGATCTCTTTGAATGCTGCACTAGTGCCCCACCTTCTGGAAGCGGCCCAGTGTGCCTGGACCCGCAAGTGTCTAAGGTCAGAGAGGGAAGCCAGGCTGAACTTGGCTTGGTGATAACAAAGATCTGTAGCTGGCCCTGTTTCCTGGCTTCACCTCCAGACAGGCCCATCTCCCAGGGAGGGTGGGTGAAGGCATTCTCAGGAATGGGCATGACACATGATAGACAGGCAAAGGGGCTCACGAGAGCCACAGAACAGATGTGCCAGGAAACCCGGACACTGACAATGGCAAGTGCAGGCCACTCAGAGCCAGGCCCAGAGGCTTCTAGCAAGGATGTGGGCTGTGTCCTGATGGTGGCAGCAGAGACCAGCTCAGGAGCCATCCAGCTCCCTTGCCCTAACAGCATGGCCTGGATCCAATCAATTTCAGTGCTCAGCACATCTGAAGCTGTGTGTGGCTGAGAGTATCTGGCAAGGCTCAGTAGACAAAGCTTTTCTCCTGGCACACACGCATCTTTCTGGCTATAAGGTTGTGCTCTGGAAAGGCAGAACTATTGCCCTCCTTCCACGCACAGGCCTGGGATCCACTATGCTCACCCCCCTGCTTCCACCAGGAGCACAGGGAGCCCCTGCCCAGCACCGAGGCCATCTGAACTCTGGCTCCTTGTGCCTGTAGGAAAGCAGGGCAGAGGCCAGTGCTGGTCTCAAAAGCCAGATAAGAGGAAACTGATGCATGCGCTTTGCTACCAGCTCAGATCGCCTGAAATACCTGGCAAATTGGCAAAGAATGGCACCCTTCTTTGAGGTCTGTAAGTAGCTTTCAGATAAATGGAGCTGCTGGAAAGTTCTGAAACAAGGGGACCTTAGACCTGGAAGAGGTCTGCTTGCTTGATGACTAGAGGGGAACTAGGATACAAAAAAGCCCCAACAGGTAGGACATTTACCGAGAGAGTGCAGGGTTCTGAAGCCTGGGTTAGCGATGGTCCCACAGGATCTGGAGCCATGAGTCGAGATAGGAAGCTGATGTGGAGACAGCCAGGGCAGAGGCAGGAGCCTTGGTGTGGGAGGCTCACAGAGCCTCCCTATACATGGTTGGAAACGCAAGATGGACACCAAAGGAGGTGGGGTGTGTGGTTCCCAAGGGCTACCAAAGTCTACTTTGAACACAACTTCATATCTTTCATTAGAAAGTAACATGCTCCACCCACAGCATCTGAAGGCTGCTTTCAGGGAGCCACAAGCATTCCTGAGGTGCAGTTCAGGCTGTGTCCTTGCTCCTGCCTTGGCTCACATTTTTATGCATGGTGTGGGAAACCCATGGGCTTTCCAGCTTTGCAGCAAGATCTGATCTGATTTTAAACTCATACATAACAGAAGGGCTGGGGGAGAATTAGGGATCCCTTTAGAATTGCAAAACTCAGGTGGGTGTGGGCTGTGGGGGTGCAGGTGGGAAGAAGGTGCTGGGAGTTGGGGAGGGAGCCACACCACTCATCTCTGGTTCTCCAATGCTTGGCACAGTGCCTGGCATGCATTGTGTACTCGGGAAGTGCTGCTTTTAATCAAACAGCTTCTGCACCACCAGATCTGGACTGACTCACTGTGACCGGGACCCTGGGCGAGTTGCTTCACCTGGCAACTTCCTCCCCACGTGTAAGGTGTGGATGATGGTCAGAGCCCTCCGGGCATCTTGGCAGTGTGTTTGCTTGCTTCTGTTTTTATTTTATTTTTCTGACAGGTCTAAGAAGGGAATGATTAAAAATAGGCACTCACTTTGTAAACCAGAGGGCCCTAAACACATGTAAGAGCTAGAAAATTTGAAAGCAGCCTCTACTGTGCTAACTTCTCAAATATGAAGGCAGCCAGGGCTGAGGCGGGAGCCTCCCCACACATGGTTGGAAAGGCAAGATGGACGCCAAAGGAGGTGGGCTGTGTGGTTCCCATTATTAATATTACTATATTAATAAATATTGGCTAATAGTGCTACATTTTCTCATTATCATTCTTCTGTTTTAGAACTAGACAATCACAGCATTAAAAATATATGTGTGTTTCCATGACAGACAATAAAGGTGTTTTCATCAAAAATGAAACATGCAACTTGCAAACATTTTCACTTTTCCCGAATTGTGCCCTTAAGCAGAAGCAGGTCACCCACCCCTGACTCCGCAAGTTTGCTTTGCTCATCAACCCAAGGAAGAGAAAACCAGGAGAAGTGGTTCCTGAAAAGAATCCAGACTTCAGATTGAAAAAGATCTTGGAGTACAAGGCCAAGTGGAAATCATGGTTCACGTTAAAGGCTAAGCCTCCTGTGCCAACCACCCATGGCTTGAGGAAAGGCTGGGAGACCTAGATTGACAGCCTCCCCCAGAGGAACCTTTGGGGCTTTGTTCCTCTTGAGATCAGGGCAAGCCTGCAGTGTGACTTGAAACCACCAGCTGCCCGAACACAACCCAAGTGTCCAACATCTGCTCCCTCTGTGGTGACCAGGCATGTGTGGCATGCTGGGTTCCTTCTGGGGCACAAAGGGGAGGCTCCTGGAGGAAGCAGATGGGCCAGGCCTAGGGCAAATGGGCCTATGAAGAAGACTTGAAGAGACCAGGATGATGAACTTGGATAAAGGGAAGACTGCCCTTCAGAACTATTTCAAATGTTTGAGCAGTTGCCAGATGAACTTGTTCCATGTGGCTTCAGAAAGCCCGGCTGAGAATCACAGACAGGAATTACAAGGTGAGCAAATTTCAGCTCCCCAAGAGAGTGGGAGAGTTGGAGGAGAATGGCCTGTCCAAAGGGTAAGATTCCAGGAATGGGGGTGTCATCCCTGGAAGAGATCAGGGAAGGGGCAGGTGGTAAGCACTTCGGGGAGGGGTGGGGCTGAGCATCATGAGGATGCCTTTGAGGTTATCAGAGACTCCAGGATGGAGTACACCAAAGACATGGAGAGAGCCCTGAGGTCCCGAGAGGTTCTGTCCGGTTCTCTGTGGAGACAGTAGGGAGACGCCTCCCGACTGCTCATTCACAGGGTGACAAGCAGCGGCAAGGAGGGGACTGTGGCCTAGGAGAGCAAAAAAGTAACAGCTGTATCTGATTCAGACCACCTGTGAATAAATAAGACGGGGTGAATGTGGAGAGTTTCTACAATTCAGGTACCTCTCAAGCCTTTATTTATGCAAGAACTGTTTTTGCCAAGACTAACAGGACTCCCCCAGGTGAAAACTTCATCTTCTCTTCCTTCTTGGGGGAAGAGACAGACAGAAGGCGGCAACAAGAAGAGGAGAGAAAAGACAAGAAGGAAGGCAGGAGAGAAGCAGGAGCGGAAGGGGAGGCTTTGCTAGTTGGAGGCTACACATTTGGAAGTGTCAGTGTTCACCCATGGGTCTTGGCGCCAGGTCGCTAGAAGCATTTGCAGGCCACTCTTGAGGCAGGCTGGCATTGTGACCAGAGCCTGGGCAGGAGGGTAGCCACTATGAGCTCGCAGCCCAGCCCTGCCTCTCACTCTGGGATCCTGGGGGAGCCACGGCTTCTCAAGCTTGGTGTTTTCTTTCTGCACATTGTGGGCTTGAATTAGACAAGGTCCTCCCCAGCTCTTGTGAGTTGTGGCTTTATGGTCAGTGGGCATTCAGACCATGGGCCGGCAGAGCTGAGGACTAGGGCTAGGGATAACCCAGGATTCCCTGTCCCACTACCTGGTTTTCTGGGGTTCCGGGAATATTTTTAGCTCACTTGGTGAGGGCTGCCCAAATCTGGGATGGAGGAATCCTGGGCTGAGCCTGTCGAGGGTGGAGAGGAAGCAGGGAGGGGCGGTGGGGAGAGAGAAGCACTTACAGCAGGAGGAAATGGGCACGCTGATGGCCAGGATCACCCAGGCGATGTCCATCTTGCTCAGGCAGATGGTGGCCCTGTGCTGGGGTTTGTCCCCTTCGGCCACATGGGAGATATTCCCTGCTGTTCCAGGCTTCCAGGTTCCAGCAGGGACCAGGCGGTTGAGGAAGTTTCCTGTGGCCGTGGACACCACTGTGGAGAGAGGACTGGGCACCCTGTCGGTCACGGGGATGGTGGCTGTGGCCTCCTCCCTGGCTGGAGAAACAGTGCTTTCTGAGACCCCGGGGGGGCGGGTTGGAGCCCGTGGGGTTGTGGATGCTCCCTGAGGAATCCCCTGGGAAGGGGCTGAGACACTGGCATCAAAGGCAGCCTGGGTGGGTCCCATGGTGGTTGTGAAGACCTCAGCACTGGCAGACAGAGGTCTGCTGGTGCTCGGGCTGACAGTAAGCCAGGAGTCATTGTGGTTGGGGCCACCCTGCGCATTGCTGTGGGGGCGCTGAGAAGGCACTGGGGCAGGTCGTGGACTGGCAGGGGCACCTGAGGCTGCTGTGGTGTCTGGCTCCCCTCTGCGGCTGGTGATGGTAGAACCACCCCCCGGGGTTGCTGTGTGAAGGCCTGGCTTGTCCTCTGCAGGCACCAGGGGGGTGGTGGGTGGTGCCCACAAGGTGCTGCTGGGTGCTGTGGTTGTAGTCACTGTCCGGGGCTGTGGTGAAGAGGGGTAGCCCCAGAGAGGGGTCCTGGGGGTGAGGGCAGAGGGCTCTGGCTCCATCGACCCTGTGAAGTTGCCCTTGTAGATCTGAAAGATTTTCCCCAGGGGCCGCTTTTGCCCCAAATGTGTGGAGCTCTGATTTCGTCCCCGCTGGCCTTCCTTCCTCCCAGCGTGGCCACCAGGGACAGGCGGGACAGGGCGAGCTGAACTTCCAGCCCCCTTTCGGGAAGAGCCTGGGGGTCTGGGGATCCTGCGTGTGGCAGCCCTGGGGGACGCTGTGGTGGGATGGCTGGTGGCTCTCGGTGGCTTTGTCAGCAGGATGGTGGGGGTGGCTTCCCCTGGGGGGCGGCCCTCTGAGTGGGAAGTTGTGGTTGTCATGGCCATTGGAGGGGGCCCTGTGGGCAGGGGCCTTTCAGAATGGGGGCTGGTTGCTGTTGCCACAATGGTGGAGACGGAGTCTGTAGGAGGGTGCCCATCTGGAAGGGCTGTTGTTCCCATGGGAGCTGTAGCCTGTGAGGAGGGTCCATCAGGATGGGGGGTCAGCGTCACCAGGGAGGAGTGTCTGGCAGAGCTGAGGAGTGCTGTCACCATGGTGCCTTGGGGAGTGCTTGAAGGGAGGACCTGAAGAGATTCCCTGGGAGATGGTTCCTGGATGGCAAATGCCAGAGCTTCGGTCAGTGCCACGGTCAGGAGGAAGCCTTGAGAGGGAGACAGAGAGAACAGGTGAAATACCTGGGGAGTTGCTTATAGCCTGGGCATTCCTTACCCATGACCTTGTGGAGTGCTGGGAACTCCTGAGGTCCATGCTGGAGCCTAACTCAGTCAGACACAACCACACATGGAGTTGGGGTAGGTCTATTAGGTAGGTGCTACCCAGGACCTGCCGGGAGGAGAGACTAGCACCAGGGGAAGCAGGGCAGTTAAACTGGCCAGTCCTGTCCTGTGTCCCATGCCTCTGAGGTGGCATCAGCCCCCTCCCCAGGACAGCTTCCAGGACAGGCTGGGGCTGGGGCTGCAGAAGCAGGCTTATTGTCTCCGTGACTGTCTCTTCCTCTACAGCCGTGGAGTGATGCAGGCCAGCTGACCCAAGGGGAAGCCTGCAGCTTCGTGTGAGCCACCCGAGCTGATGAGGAAGGCCTGGGTGGGCAGAGCTAACCAACTCCTGTGCCCTTTTCTGAATCTTCCATCTATAAACTACACAAAGGTACAAGTGGACAGACCTCTGTTCCTTCAAGCCCATTCACCAAATGGGATGAGAGAATGTCTACTGTCTCCTTGACCTTGGAAGATACAGAAACGAACAGGGCAATCTCTACTTTGCACACATCCACAAACAATCCTTACAGAAGACAAAGATGTCTCAGTGCCATAGCAGAGTGACAGGCAGGAATGGGGGGCGGGGCAGGGGTCCAGAGAAAGGAACCAGATCTGCAGCCCATCCCACACTTAGCAGAGTCTGGAAAAGGAGAGGCATTTTGTAACCCCTGCTGGCATTACGTCATTATCATTACCTGCTTTTCCTACAGCCTCCTGCAGCTGAGCTCCCTGAGGAAAGCTGTCACTGGTGAAACCTAACCTTTTTGAGTAGGAAGAGCCCTTTTGAACATGAAAAAAGAAAAGGATTTTGCATGGTAGTATACTTACAGTTCATTGAGAAAATGAACAAGGACAAAAACCTATATACACTTAGAAACATTTCTACATGTGGGTGGATTTTATTAATAAGAGCAGGTACCTATATTTAAAAATAGTGCCTCCTACAAATGTGAGATGTAGGCTTTATTCAGCTTGTAGACTGTGAGACTGGCTGTTTCCTGACAACATATGAATTGGGAAAAGCTGGTCTCTACTGCTGAGGAGCAGCCAGGCAGGCAAGGCCTGATTCTGAGCTGTTAATGCCTCCTTGTTCACACAAATTCCCTTGTCACTTTGAGGCCTTTCCTTCAAACCCCTCTGACCCCCTCCCCCATTACAGGTAGGGAGCTTTGTCTGCATCTGATAACTCTATTAGAGTCTCTGGCCTTCATCAGATTCCAGAAGGACAAATGCCCAGAGTAGGGGCCCTGGCTGGGAGACAGGTCACCTGGCCAGATTCTAGGAAGCAGAGAAGGGGAGATCTGGCAGCCTTTGGCAGAGGTGTGTGTTGGGACCTTGGCATGGACTGGTGTTTCCCTTGACCTGAACTTCTAAATTAGTGGGTTGGGGGAAAGGAAGGACTTCAGATTGAACAGAGGCAGCAATGCCCACCACCTCTGGGATCAATGATTTTCCCTAAAGAATCTCTTTTTTCTAAATTTGCATTCATAATTTAGAGCATATATGGACAGTATGTTTTGATTATTCAAGTCAAATTCTAAAAACTGTTTACTGAGCACCTGCTCTGCCCCACACTTTGTGCTCAATTTAATCCTCAGGACCACTTGATGGGGTAGGAAATTGAAGTTCAGGGAGATTCGGTAACATGTAGAAAGTCTCACTGTAGCAGAAGTATGCAAAACCAGGGCTGTGTCTAAAGCCCACACCTTTTCACGTCAACCACCATCAAATACAGGAGGAGGAAGGAGAGGAGCAAGGTGCATCCACAGACGGTCTACGTGCTGCCATGCTGGGCGGTCAGAGGCCAGTCTACCTCCCTGCCACTGCTCAATACCACCAGGACAATCTGCTCTCAGGGCTGCTAGTAGTGACCTCCAGGGTTTTAAGGGACATTCACTTAAAAGTCTCTGCTTGGGCCCCAAATGTTGTTAAGGATTGAACTGAGCTCCCCCAAGCTCCTATGCTGAAGCCCCAACCCTCACTACCTCAGATTCTGGCTATATTTGGAGATAGGACCTTCAAAGAAGTGATTATGGTACTGTAAGACTGATAGGGTGGGCCCTCATCCAATCTGACCGGTGTCCTTCTCAGAGGAGGCGATCAGGACATACAGAGACACAGGGGTACAAGTACACAGAGGCATAGCCGTGTACAGACAAAGCAGGGCAGGGTGCCGACTGTGAGCCGGGGGGTGAGGGGAGGCTCAGGGGCATCTGGTCCTCCAGCACCTCGATCTTAGACTTCCCAGAACTGTGAGAAGTAGAATATTGTTTAAACCATCCAGACAATGGCATTCTGTTATGACAGTCCCAGCAAACTGATACAATAGCTATCTTACAGCTGAGATCTGAGAGAGGAGGGACAGAGACTGGGCTGGCATACAGGTAGTTTATATTGAGAAGTGATCTGAGAGGCCAGCTGTGGTGGCCTGCGATGAGTAAAGCAGAGAAAACCAAGGGAAGGTGAGCTGCCCTGCGTGGAGACCTGTCTCCCTGGGACCTATGGGAAGCTGAGCAGGCTGCAGCTCAAACTGCCTGAAAGGAGCACTTGCCCATATGCTCCCACCCCCACGGGGCAGGGGCTGCCCCTGGGTGCTCAGCCCACACATTGCCTGGCTTATGCTGAGTCTCACTTGGCTGCCCCACAGCTGGAGTTAAAATTAAGGGCTCGAGGATTCCTGGGGTCAAGCACCAGATGTGTCAGATACAATCAGAGACCAGAGAACAAGGACACAGCAGTCTTTGGGCAGCAATATCCAGGGCAATGCAATGCTTTAGGAGACAGGGATTGACCCCAGGGACAAGCCAACACGTGGGAGCCACCCTGGCCTCTAGAACTTTCCGAGCACTCCAGAGGCAGAGGGGTTAATACAGACTGGTTTTTAGATACACAGGAAAATAAATTCCTCTGACTTTCCCATCATCAGAGCTCTGGGCGAATCCTCCCAGCCGGGAAGCCTAAGACCAGAACCTTTGGTGCTGTAGGATATACAGTGTACTTAAATGTGTTTGTCCTGCTGCAGCTTTTGGTTGGTTTAATTGCAGGATCCCCTGAAGTTATTTTTCTCACTAGGAGGGCGGGAGAGTTAACCTTTCATCTCTTTCTTCTTTGCACTTTAGAGTAAATCTTTGGTACCATGTATGGACACTGCCATCCTGGGTGTCAAGGGTTTTCACCTGGAGGGTGACATTTAAATGCTACAATGACAGGGGACCTAAGGTTCATCTAATCCAATCCCTATATTTCATAAGGGAGCAACGAAAGAAGGGAAGTGACTTGCCTAAGAACCCTTGGCTGGTTGAGATACAGCCTGGACCACAGCCATAGTTTCAAAGCAACTTTTCATTTGTATCATAAAAATTGCTACAATGTTATACTGCCCCTCACCACCCTCAACTTCTACTGTCCTCTTCAATATGGAAATCATACAACAGTTTACCTCTCTTTGGCACAAGGTTAACAACTAAATCTAACCCACAGAGTGCATAAGGGTGCCAGGCCTTCAACCCAGGGCTTCCCTAACACATGCAAATGTTCATTCAAGGCCCTTTGTGCTGGCCTGCACATTCCCCCTCCCCACAAGCTGGGGCTCCTGCTTCTTTGCATGTTATTTGCATTGATTTGCATAATGGACTCTGGAGCCTCTAATTCCAAAGATGCAGGGGAGACTAAAACTAAAATCTATCTTGACATGCTTGAAATGTGGAATTGACTTTTAAAAATGTTGGAATAAAGAAAATTGTGTGTGTGTGGGGGGGTAGAAACCACAGATTAATGGGTGCCCAGATGTCACGGGAAGCCTCCTTCTACCAAAAATTCCAGTGCATACATGATCCCAGGACCCAAGGGAAGGGAGGGTCCTCCTCCTCCTGTTTATTTGGTCGGCTGCCCACAGTCCATATTGGGCATGACATTTGCATCTGGCAAAGGCAAGGAGGGAATTGGTGAGGAGAGAAATAACTAATATGTACCATGAATTGCTGGGAGGGCTAAGCCTATGCTGACTCATTTAACTGTCACAGCCATCTGAAGAGGCAAGTACTATTATTAGCTATCTGTGGTGACTGAGGAAAAGCAGCACAGAGAGGTACAGAAACCTGCCCATGGTCACACAGCTGGGGAATGGCAAGCTTCGATCTGAACTTCAGCAGTTTGGCTCCAGAATCTACACTCTCAACCATTTTCACTCATTGCTGTGCTCAGTCAACCTACCCAGGACACACTGCACATTCAAAAGCCATGATTCACATCTTTGGGGAACTGACTTTTATTGTTCTTCTCTTGACTTTTCTTCATTCTTACCTGTTTTCTTCTATCTTTATTCCTGGGCTCTGTAGGACACCTCTGGGTTCTTTTAACAGTTTAGTTAATTAACTTTATTTTGCAAGTAACTGGGGGGAGCTTGTAGTAGTACAGTAAAAGACCTGAAAGCCCCTGCTTTAATTATCTCCTCTTCCCCAATCCTGACATCTCATGCACACCATTGTTTGTGAGAAGAAAAATTATATATACATTTTCTTTTAAAATTGCTTACACACACATGATCTATTTGCTACTGGATAATTTGTGTAAACATAAATTCATTTCATTTTCCCAGTAATTTTAAACACTGTCTTCTTGCAAGTAGGTCTTCCTCATTAATCTGAGTCTCTGCTGGAAGATACGTTGTCTTTTGCCATTTTTAACCCTTGTGGCAGAGAATCACAGGAGTCTGGGAAGTCAGAATTCTGAGTCTCCCCTGTCACAAGGAAGACACTTGGTGTGCTGCTTTCAAATTGTGTCTATAAGTTCTCTGATACTTCTGCCAAGAGGTAGAGTCTATTTCCCTTCACACTGGATGCAGACGGGCCTCTGTGACTGCCTCAGTGGACACAATGAAGCA